TTAGTCATGTCCATTTGCCTATTGACGTTTCATATCCGCAAAGCAATTTCAATAAAACTTCCTATTATTATTATTATTATAACTTCTCTTTCGGTCGGTCTGTCACAAGGTTACTTCTATGCCAAGAACGAAAGTTTAGTTTTTCGGAAATCGATACAGTAGCGACAGAGCTACATGCAAAACGGAAAAAAATTGCTCAAACTTCGTTTTTCATGTTTCAGAGGCTCCTGATCATTATCAGAAATATTTTTGTTGCGGGTGATAATTTGGGATAGGTTGGCAAAGACGTTCTATTGCGGTTGATGCCGGTGGTCGGTGGGGGTGGAATGCGGTATATCTCACTCCTTGGCGTAGCAACTTCGGTAACTCTACGCACTTATTGGACATATTTCACACATCATGCACCTCTCCGTACGTTTACTCTCAAACTGTGAGCGATATTTTCGACACACGTGCCGCACGCAACGCAACGGACATAGGCTACCAGGATACTGTTTGGTTTCTGTTGGTCGGGTAGGGGAGAAATATCTAGATAGCAACATTATCAAATAGGTGGAGAATATGGACTAATTGTATGGCCCTGTTTGACTGACTTGATCAATTTAATTTTTTCTAATAGATGTTTGTAGTTAATATTTAACTCAGAGGGGCGGGTTATCTTTCTGTCTGCGAAGTGATGATAGCTTTGCGTGGGAATTGCAGAGTTGACCTAGGTACTCTCGCTATTTTTTCGAATCACTCTAAATCGGAAAATCTCTCATTGTTGATCTGAAATCAGATTATTAATGCCTTTCTTGAGATCTCCTTCCATTGTCTATAAAAACCAAAGCCTTTTACAAAGGTATCACATAACTAATGACCTATTCCCTATTTACGATATTGAAAAATGGTGAACGTACTAGCATTTGACGCTCTTGCCAGTATTTGGAATCCAGGTATTGATATTGAAAACTGCAGCTTAACATCCCGCCGCTTGAGTCTGTACCAATCAAGTTTCATTCAGAATAACTTAATCTGATGGATACTTGATAGTAAAATCAACTTAGGTGCAGTTGCCTTACCTAAATGTGTTCAATTTTCTCAAATATGTTTTACTTACTACACTCCAAGCATAATGCTCGTATAGGTGTATATAGACAATATCGCGCCCACATCGTATGTGCATGTAGTGTCATCGCGCCGTCTGCTACGTGCTTTCAGGAGTCCTTGGATCCACTACCAAAAATACAGATAGGTATACAACTCGGTTCTCAACTAACAATTTCATGTTTTATAAATGTCATAAGGATGTTTACAGAAAGAACGATTTTAACAACAATGTTGCTGTCAGCGTCCCAACAACGTTTGCACAACATTATAAAGCCAAAAAGGGAGCATTTTTGTGCCGCAATTTTGTTCTCTAATTTGTTATTATGGCTCCAACAGCTTTTACCGGATGATTGCTTTTAAAATAATTATAAAACATACTACGCAACAATTATAAAACTGCTTTATTGAAAACGGTTCTAGAACTAGAATAACACAGCTTTATATTATGTTATGTTAGATGTAGGTTTCTTCTCTTGATAACACAACTGCTTGAAGTTTTTCAAATCCGTAGGATTCATAATTTATATATAATAATTCTAAATAACAACAACAAGTAGTTTTTCGAGAATTCTTAATTGTTTATAGCAAAACACCTGTCTTCCGGCCATCACTACTAGTTTACTGAGCAATTTACAGGGTTCGTTCAAAGAGCATTTAATAGCAAAATACACGTGCCTATCTTACAGATATGAATCACAAACCATGCCGAAAGATAAATGTTATTTTTATGCGGAAAACGAAGGTTACGTTTCTTTCTTCTAAATAAATTCATACATTTAATATTTGAGAGTAATAAATGCGTTACGATATTCGAAAAACATAGAATTCCATACATATTTTAAAACAAAGCGAATTACTCACAAATACGAAATGTTTGAATTTGCTTAGAGGAAAAAGCGTAACCCATCCTTTTTTGCATAAAGATAATATCTTTCGGAATGGTTTGCGATTCATATTGGCAAGGTAAGCTAGTGTATGTAGCTTAATAGACTAATGATGGCCGGAAAACAGGGATTCTCAAAAACTACTTGACCAATCTACTCCAATTCTGTTGTGGTTATTCAGAAGTACGAATCCTACGAATTGCAATAATTTCAAATGCGTGCGAGAAACCATCGTCGCATTACTAACAAGTGCCAAAACTAATAGTCTCATTTTTTAGGTCTCATAAATAAATTAAAATTTCATCTGAAGAGTTTTTTCGTTCCTACCAGCACTTTAAACTGAATCCCAAAAAACGCGTTTTGTCGTTATTTGTTGTAGAATAAAAAGTTTTCCCGCAAAGCTTGGTATACCCATTTTACGCGTCCATGTTTTGAACACTCCCTTAAACAACTTGCAGCAGTTAAACCAGACCTTACAATTATTTCGCAAACCAAGGGTATTCTCGTCTAATATGATTAGACTATGGGATATTTTGGAGGACAGCAATAATCTAAGAAATCTATACTGGATATGTCAAAATACCAACGACTCTACCCTAAAAGCAAAGTTAGAAAGATTATAACAACAAACTTATATTAAAGAAACAAACATATTTGAATAACAGAATGCAACCAGGGAGTAATCCTACAAAAGAAGTGTAGAGTATTGTGAACAGCCAAACGGGAGGGATAGAAAATAATCAAATAATAATCTATACATCATCACGAGCGATGGGACTCTGACAGATCCAGACAAAATTGCAAATTGCTTTTGTGAATACTTTGCAACCATAGCTGAAAAGTTAATTACGATAGAGGACGCAAATATTGAAGAAAGCAAGTATGCTAAAGGCATCACAGTACTCAACTCGATGGCATTTTATGAGATATCCCCAGAAGAAATAATACAGTTTCTAAATGAATTGAAAAATAAGGATGCATGTGAGCCTGACGGATTACCAGGAAAAGTACTAATATTCATTTCTCAATATTTAATATATCGACTCACATACTTATTTAGCTTATCAATGACAGCTGGTACCTTTCCGGATTTGTTAAAAATAGCTGTGGTGTTGCCTGTTCATAAAAAAGGAAGCACTAAATTCTTAGAACATTGTCGTCCCATAACATTGGAGGAAATATTTTATAATAGAATGTATGCTTTTTCGAATGAGCACAATACTCTATCCGTTAAATAACACGGTTTTCGATATAACCACTCAACGAATACGGCAGCATTTTCACTATAAAAGCCTTGGTTACACAATGAAAATATTTTTTGCTTTATCAAAAGCTTTCGACTGTGTTCACATCCTCGTAAATCGTAGATCAATGGATCCTATCATATGTCAAACAGAAAAATTTTGGTTAAGCTGAGTAGCACTATCTCTAGTCCACATGTCATAAACATTGGAGTACCTCAGGGTGGAGAGCTCTCACCATTTCTGTTTTTGTTATTTGTGAACGATTTGGATGAGTATATAAGTGATAATGATTATCTCTTGGTTACCTTTTCTTATGACGCAACTATAACAGTATCAACAAAGTCGCCAGGTGATCTAGGATGTAAGGCTAGCAGCATAATGCAGAGATTTCAAAAGTGGGGAGTATTAAATAGGTTACTAATTAATACAGATAAAACCAAATATAACCTGTATCACAAAAGAAGGACACAGAACAACATCAGAGTTAAAATAAGCGATAAGTCACTGGAAAGAGTACCAAACTTAAAATTTTTAGGTCTAACTGTGAATGAACATTTGAGCTTGGAAATACCACGTAGAGTATGTAACCAAAAAAAGATGAATTCAGCATTTTTTGCTGTAAGAAACTTAAAATACATAATAAGTAAGAAACACCTATTGAATGTCTACTACTCTATTGTATATTCCTACCTGAAATACTTAGTGCTATATTGGGGATCATCTGTTAAGGCGAAACGAATCTTTATCGTTCAAAAAGTAATGGTCAGACTTATTCTCATTGCATCCTCTAGAGTCATCTCGAAGAACATTCTAGAGATGAAAAAATACTAACTTTAGCATCATTACTCATCCTAGAGACGTGCCTTCATGTAAAATCATATTCTTCCAAATTCACTTACCTAAAAGGGTCTCGGAGAGACATTCTAAGGAATAATAACAAGACTGCATTTAACAACTATAGCCTCAGCACATACCGTAATAGCCCTGACTATCTATGTGGATCTATTTTCAATAATTTGCCCCCCGAGCTAAAAGCCATTATTTCACTTATTATATATTTATGCCACATACTTTTCATATTTTCCTATTTAACTACATACTGTCGTAGTCCATTCTGATAAACTTCATAAGAGTCAACTACAGCCTTCCAGTTGCGAGTTTTAAAGGCAATTGAATGGACAACGATCCCTCAAGACGCTTTTAAGTCCTCATTGGATACAGAAAAGAGAATAAAGTAAAATCTTATTTATCAAAAAAGACGCACTTTGAGACTTTCCCTTAGATCTCATGTTCCGAGCAACTATAAGGCTTTTCTTGTAAAATATTGCTTATCTTATCCCCCTCCTCCAGATTGAAATCCTGGGAGCGCCACTGGCGTGTTTTGTTTTTACCCATGTTGGTCTTCAATATAAAGCATGGATATATAACTACACTGTCGACGGTCTATATAGAAAATGTTTTCAGAAAGTTAGTAAAAACAATGGTCCCTGTTCATATGTATACAAGAGCTAGTAGCAGCTGCGTTACGGATCGGCTTTCGCAATGTGCAATGTCCCTTAGGGAACAAGCCAATATTTTTACTTTTGTCGTATGGCATTTTGACGTAGCCATCAAAATCCATGAAATGAATGTACTGTTATCATATAGCAATTTGGCTTCAGTTAATGTACCAATAATCTTCAATTGCCTTCAGTTATTCGTTTTTGCCCTGTTGCAGCAATCAATTAATGCCTTGAAGCCTAATGACTCTCAGTATTATTAATATCCATTTCTTTGATTCCAGTATTTTGTGTTTGAGTTCCAGACAACCCATGATAAAATGATGGATACCCAGATAAATATATGTGTATGGTTTCGCCGTTCTGAAGGCTTCATGATTAACAGTCCCTTGTTTTAGGTCATTCGGCCAAGAACTGTTTGGAGAAAGACAAAAATCTTGGGATGTATCACTTTAGATGTTGCTACAGTTTTCTGTCAAAAAAGTGCGTACTTATACTGTTATTTGTCGAATGGGAGGAGCAGTGTCTCTTCCTTCGACGTTACGAAAACTAAAAAAAATTGTTAGTCTAAGCAATTTTCCAATCAGTAGCCAATGGACTGAGAACAAAATAAGATATTTTCTGAACGAGTGGTTATATTTCTATTATCCTACTCGAAGTGGTTTCATATCCTGGTTTAGGTATTGGATATAAAAAGATTCTTGACATCTAAACACAGAAAAAAACAAACAAAAAACATAGTTTTCCTTACTTCTTTTTTTTATATACCGAAGGAGCCGCGCAGGTAGGAACCTAAATGACAGGACACCGCCGCCGCTATGGGGATCTCAAAGAAATTTTGTTAATCCGATTTTTGAACTGCCTAAGGTTAGTAGAATTGGGAAAAGCTTCCTTTTCTAGATTTTCTCACAATCACGACACCATCAGGACAAGAGAGCGGTCGTATCGGCCAGTTCTGGATCTACGAAGTTCGGGATGGGATGCCAAAGTCAGACGGAGGGCTGTGAGGAGCAAGACTTGCTTCTGTACAGGTAGAAGAGAGCCAGATCACCGACGGCCCGCCGCTGCGAAAGGGTCCCGACACTGTCTGTTAGAGAAAACTCATCGATCAGTCGGACAGCCCTCCTCTGGACAGCATCGAGCATAAATAAATAAACGTGTGAGCAATACTCGAGGCTAGGCCTTATCTGGGCCTTGTATGGAGTCAGAAGGTCATTGAGAGAAAAGTACTTCTTAGCCCTAAGCAGATATCCTAGCTTTTTCCCAGCAGCTGCCGCTATTGGCGAGATGTGTTCGTGCCAAATCAAGTTGTCGGTGATCTGGACCCCGTCTAGCCTGAATGAACGGCTTTTTGGCAGAACTCGGTCATCCATCGAAACCGGATGAGCACCAGGACGCTTTTTGTTCGTCAAGATAGGGTAATGTATTTTGGAAGCATTAAGTTGTGCAAGATTGTTGCGTCCCCAGGCAGTGATAACCTCCAGGGGTCTCGTCAGAGACGAAGTCGTCGCTCGTGGTTTGGAATGATCATACAGGAAAGGAGGTCGTTGATATGTAAGACGAACCGTGTCGGAGCCAAGACCCTGCATGAGTTTACTCCACAATTAAACCATACTGCCTGTCGCTAATCAAGCCGTGACGTTCAAGGTAGTCCAGAAGCTCGCGATTTATGCACCTCTCCATCACCTTACTTACATGCAACAAAAAGCAGAGCTATAGACCTGTATTTGTAAGGGTCGGTCTTTGATCCTTTTTTGGGATGGGCTGGACATGAACAAATTTCCAATTTTCTGGGAATCAGCTTGCTTGGTCAGCGTCCAGAAAGACCGTCTGTCATTCGCTGCGACATTACCCTGTGCCTGAATTTTTCATCGTGCTGGTCTTCGGCACTGTGAACCGCTTCGTTATCTTTATTTCTGGATTCGACGTCGGCTTACCTGCTATCTACTGTGGAGTTTGTAAAAAGGTTCTATGTGCCTTGATCTTCTGCTAGCGAGCAGTGTCCCACGATTTGTTGAACCAGTCGTTTGAACCTGATTTCATTGTATGAGGAATGTATTCCTCCATCCCGACGTGAATTTCGGTTATCAAAGAACAGACAGCCGACAAATCCTCGTCAGCGAAACAAACATATCTCCAAGGAAACGTAGAGAAGGAGTCTCTGAGCCCTTCCCAATCGGCGTGTGCGTAATGCCAAATTCTGCGGCCTGTGCGAGTGTCTGCTGTCACACCGGGTTGTGACCGAAACATAGCTTCAACAGCACCGTGGTCTGAGTTACCCAGGAGGGACAGGGTAGCTGTGCTGTAAGGGACAGGATGCGTGGTCAGAAAGAGATCCAGCAAGCTACTAGCATGTGACGAGATGCGGGGGAAAAATTAGGGCTCGTCACCAGCTGGGTCAGCCCTTGAGTAGGACCACCAAAGCTCATTATGGTCATTGAAATCGCCGAGGAGAACTACCTCTGAAGCGGGGTGATTCATGTTCAGGAAGTCGGTCTTGACAGTGAGCTATTCAAGTAGGTTATCACAATTATGGGCCGAGTTAGAGCGATAGAGGCAGCAAATAAATTTGGGGGATGTTTTGTAGTTGAGGCGAAGTCAGAGAATATCTCTGGAGCAGAAAAGACTGCTGCGGACATACTTCCCCGTTCTGTCTCACATTATAGTGCACCTCGTAATTTGGGAAGCTAAGATGGTTAATCGGTGCAGGGCAAAGCATGGCGGGACGATTGGATTGCAAGTAGTGATGAATAGCATCAATGTTGCTGTTAATCCCGCAAATGTTCGTGAAACAAATTTTATCTTCACTGTTGTTCTCTCGAGTCCACCCTGCACCCGGACATTCCGAGAATGGAGTCAGTTTATGCCCGGAATTCTTAGTACTCGGGTGATCCAGCATCATGAATTTCTTTGTTGGGGAAGATAACCGACTGCGTAGCCTAGGTGTGAAAACATGCCGACGTTTTTACAAAACAACCTTCCTTTTGCATGTTAATTATGTTAAATAGACCTAAAGTAGCCCGGCAATCGGTACTAAGGTATTCCTTAACACGTGTACAATCACTTGAGCGGGAAGAAGTTGTATACTGAATACAACAACAGGTATTTGCCGCGGACCGGCACGGGTATTAAGTAAAAAACCTATAAAACGCCAAAAAAATTATAAGATGTCATCTTGCAGACTAGGTAGTTTTTAGGGCGTAAACAGTCATTCCACATTTGGACACACACACACACACACACACACACACACACACATATCTGGATGATTATGTGTATTAGTCTGCATGTGTATAAAATCAGTAATATTTGCTGTGTGAGAGTGAGAGAGTCATTATGGATACGCTGCTAATGAAGTATTTCTCTTAGCTGTGCCCGACAAGTTGTTCATATATGTTGTCCTTTCCGAAGACAGGTTCAAAGTTAAAAATCACGAAACAACTTTGAGGAGAATTGGGGGAAATCACCACCGCGGCCGCGTTGTGTATAATTGCTGTTAGCATGTATATGGCTTGTAATTCGACATTGTACAGTGAATATATTTATTTCTTATATCTCTCATTTTTAAAATTCAGCGAATTTGCATATGTAAGTTCCAGAATGGATAAGAAAAAGTGGATGCGCAACTGATTTCTAGCTTTGAATCTCAAGTAAGTGTATTTGAAACAAGAATTCAATGGAATTATCATCAACATATACAACTTACAGCTTAGACCTTCAGTAATGCCATCTCTGAAGCAGATTATACATCACATCAGAGCGAAACATTGATAACTGAAGCTTCATGACGTTTAGGCAAAACGGGTTCACAACGTGTCTCTCAGCTAGTGCTAAGTTAACATCTTGTAGAAAAATCTACATAATGTAAAAAAAATCCGCATAATGTACCTTTTCAAGATACGTAATACCCGTGCCGCTCAGTAGAGTAAGCTTCTTGATGAAAAGTTGACAAAAACATCCTGATAAATGGAAAATTCCAGATCATCAATTCTATCATAAGTGGGGTATACTGCAGTCGCCAAAACATGACCCACTCACAGGGCCTAGAGGTTACTTGAAGCTGGATATTACCGTACTGACTAAAGGAGATACCCCCACCATACCAAGGCATGTAGACAATGACGAGATAGAAGGGTAAGTTAGGACAGTAGGTTCGAGTTAATTGAGTGCTGAAAATAATAGTTTTAAGTTAAAAAGGACATAAAGCTCGGGATTCGCTTCTTAGCAGCCATTTTGTGAAAAGTACGGTATAACTTTTTTTTTCAAACCAGCCGTTCATAAGATGGGCAACCAAGGGACTGTAGCGCCATCTAACGGCCAGTATAATATTGAGATGAATCAGTGGGACTACCTCGTGATAAATTTAAGGAATTATATTGTAAATTATATTGTGGTATCTCCTCTTCGGCAAATTTGATAAAAAAATTGATATGACGAAACTCTACTTACAACTGCAAAGTGTATCTAGTACCTTTGTGATGGAAAACCTTATGAATAACCATACGGCTTTGATGATGAGGTTTTTACCTGTCTTAAAAGTTACCTTTGCCGAAGAAGTGTTCAATACACGGAAAGTTAGCTGTCCCCGAAGAAGTTGTCCAAGAAGGGTCATTGACCTTCATCTGCATATCTGAACAACTCAATGACCAGCAGGTTTGTTTCTTATGCGCCTCATCCTAGTCAGCGCCGAAGCCAAACTTCTTATAGACTGGTATCACGTGACCACTGTGACATAATCCTTGGCGACGAGCTTAACCTCTTAACCGAATATGACGAATATATTCGCCAAGTAATAAACTAACTTGGTTGGGTAGTACGAGTATATTCGCCTCACCTTTTTAAACGCCGCATTTCACGAATAATACGAATATAGTCGCTATTATGTTCTATGGGAATCCCCACTGTTCGCACGTTCGCACGATATAGGCTGGAGTACAGGCGTTTTGCGCGCTACCCTTTTGTAATGTCTGACGCGAGTGAATCTTCATTCGATTACAACAGCGATCTTTTGTCTATCAGTTCTATTGATACTAACTATGATTTATCAAGCTGCGACGATTTATCTAAGTTCTGTATTAGCGAAATAGTTGGATGTGGAGTTTTCTATTTGATAGCGTAACATTTATAAAATGTGGTTATTCTTACCCCAACAAACATACGGGACCGTGGAGTAAAAAAATCACAAAAATGAATAGAAATTTTATAAAAACACCGTATTACAATGTTTTTCGAGATTTTTCTATAAAATTTAGGAGAAAAAAAACAAATCTTCAGATGAATTCAAGTATAAAATCGTAATAATAAGAAAAATCTGTTTACTGTTGTATAATTACATACCTTGTTGCACACCAGATTTAAATTGTTTTTTTTTTTTTGTTAATTACATATTTACATCACATCGTCATTTTGTTCAGAGCTGTCCGATTCAAGGATTGAACACCCTAGTTCATCCTCTGATGCCGCCTCATCGTCATCCCAACCCTCTTCACTCTCCTCAGATGAGCCTGTATTAGAGTGAACACTAAATTTTTTACTGCTTCATCTAAAAGGTGTTCTTTTTCTATGAGTTCATTCTCATACTTTCTTACATGCTGGCAAATATTGAACCACTCTTGTTCTGTCACCTCCTCAAATTTTTGTCTGGCCAGCGCCTCAGTATCAGGCAATCTAAACGTGGTATTCCGCGCTGCAACCCAAAGCCCATATTTTTTCAATGGGGTTTAGTTCGGGATGATACGGAGGTAAACGGAGCACACAATGACCATCTTTTTCTAAAAGCTCATCTAACCTATATTTTATGGGAAAACGAAATTTATTTTCAGAAATAATTTTATATAACTCTGGTTTGGTTAATTTTGGGTCTGCTGGAATTCCGTTTTTTCCAACCAATTAATCATTTCCGCTTTCCTAGTAGCCGTCGTAATATTTTTTTTATAGGCACGTTATGGTACGATGCATTATCTACAACTAAAACAGACCTCTCGGGTAAGTTTGGTAATAGTTGTCTCTCGACCCATGTCATAAAATTTTTTGAATTCATATATGTACTCTAAAAATATATTCCTAAATAGATTAAGTAAACTAAATTACCTGATTTAAAGATAAGTAATCCATTTACGATACCCAATAATTTTTTTTAAGAATTTTATACGCTTAGCGCGTATGTCATAGGATTCGCATAAAACTTTTCGTTTATCTTGCATTTTTTGCCACTTAAATCCAATTTTTTTCAAAAGTCGGCTCAGGGTGCTTATGCTTAATTCAGCGACGTCTTCTGATAATACACCTCGATCGAGGATCTTTTGTCTAATACCTAAAATAAAATTAGAGCTTATTTCAGACATTCTAATAGACAAAGATTCTATGCAATCTACCGGGTGAGTATATTTTAGAGAATATAGTTCAGAAACTCCTGACATGGAGAAAAAGGTACCAGAGACAATCTTTCAATTTTAATGCTTACCCTTTAATGTCGGTAATTTTTTTCCATCATGTAAAAATTGTAGATTATTTCTCTAATACTTTTAATCTGGTGAGGTGTGAAAGAATCCAATTTCCATTTCTTCATATTTTTCCTTTTTTTGGGGCTTGAAAAGAGGTACTTGGTCCTTGCAAATCCTTTTTCTTAGATTCTTTGCAAATTCTCTGGTAGGTATTCTTTGATACCCCAGTAGCAGCCAATACTCTATCCCTAAAATTAATTTCCTTCTAAATATTATATTAAATTTAAGGAATCTAATATGATTATTTCGTAGACAAATCATTTTTAATTTAATTCTCGACACGGAATTTTACTTAATTATTATTTACAAAAAAAAATAATAAAATTTTAACCATCTACCTTTACTTTCGGTAGAAAAGTTGAAAATAATAATTACATAGATTTGGGACACGCTGTACATATCATGAAAATAAACTTTGTGAAAGCTTTCAAAATACTGGAATTGTGTATTCTTATTGATTAACATACCTGTAATTTGTCAAAGGAATGCTAATCCCTTCTTCAGCCTCTTTTTCATGAACTTAATAATATTGTTCACAATTTCACAGCTTTGGCTGTGTAAAGCTGCACCATGTTTTGGTTTATATCATTTGTAGTTTAGTGAGCTTTTTGTCAATAATTTTCAATAAAGTAATTGGAATTATTGGATACATGCTTGCATTTTTATTATCGTATTCATACGCTCTCCCTATCGAGAGAAACGAGTATATACGCATACTTTCTATCTGTAAGGATATCACATTACGGGAACGACGAATATATGCGCATCTTTTTATCTTACCGGGTAATGCGAATATTCTCGCATTTAATATTTTTATGACACGATACATACAACCACATCCGAATTCTGGCAACACGGTTAAGAGGTTAACTAACTAACCACGTGGCGCGAATTTCAAATATTGTTCACGTTGGGGCATAATGAATTTAAGAGCAAGTTGACAGTAAATCAAAATTTTTTGCAAGGTTTTCTTGTTTTGTTAGAAGTCATAAACAAAAAATCGAAATCGCGTATTTACCAGTTTATTTTTATTTTTTTACCAAATTACTGTTTTTTAAAAAATGTATTATTGGTAATTCACCGTATTCCATCCAGGACGTAACAGGGGGGCTGAAATGCAACAAACTTCACTCCCAACAAAAATAAAAAGTAGTGTTTCGAAACAAACTGGAAAAGATATCAAAAATATATTTCGGTGGCAACCTTGATTTGTTACTAGTGCATATTTTGAAACTATTTCAATATAATACAGGGTGTTCCATAAGTTTGTACTATAGCAAAGATATATTTTTTCAAATGGAACATCCTATATTTTATTCCATGCTAGCTGACCCGACAGACGTTGTCCTGTGTTAGCTATGAACTGGAATGAATAATGAAAGGGTAAATATATGGAACGTAGTAATTGTATAGTGAAGTGTTTGTACCGCCATGTGGCTAGCAAAATACGTTGTCAGCGCTGCCATTCCCCCATCAACTTACCTTTTATATAGTCATAAAATTATGTCGAATGACCTTTGTTGCGCCAAATGACGTGATTTGAAAGCAATTACTGTATTGCTGGATATGAGTGAAAAATGTATAGAATCTGGACCATTTCTGGAAACCAATGGATATGGCTCTGGTGGTGGTACTCATCGTAGCAACTTGATTATTATGTTATAACAATGTTTTATCATCATAGTACAAATAATGCATTGGAACTTTTAAAAACAAATATATCCAAAACTATTAGCTTTAGACACCTCTAACAAGTAAACCTTTTTTGGTATGACAATACGAGAAAATAAGATTTTTCTGTCAGTTGTTGTGTACATGGTAGCACAAAAAAGTTATAAGCTATTTACCGAAATAGTACTGTAAGTGGCGCCCTCTAGAAGTTTCGCCATAAGAAATAACGGATTCTTGTTTCTCATACTGAAAAACCTACCTAGCTTTATGCCAAAATCTGAAATATTTCTCAAGCAATAAAGAAAAATAGAAAATAAAACTATATTGACTCTGACACCCTGTATCTCGCAAACTATCAACTTTTGGACTAAGGTATGTTCAGGTCAATTCGCATATTTTGGTCTGCAGTATCTCCAGTTTCGAGATTTCTCAACCTTTCGCAGACACCCTGTATAGAGCTCAATAGAGCGTCTCAAAACAAGAAGTTTGATATCATGATTGATAACATATAGTTTCGATTGTCAATTGTTTAAATATTTGGAAAACGACTGAAAGGTGCCAAGCCTTGACTTGACGGAACGCAACTCCACCATTTTTGAAGGTATTCAGATAAATCTCAATTTTATTATCTTTGATTTTAAGTTGATCTGGGAAAAGTGTTGAAATTTCTTTCTATTTCTTGAATATTTCAAATAGTACACCCTGTGTATTTCTACATTATTAAACAGTTTTTCTGGTGAACTTTTGTTTGATATCAGGCTTATACCACTTTTTTCAAACGTTTTTGAGTTATCGCTACTAATTTCAAGACGAAGCAAAGCCATTTTGTATTTAAACATAAAATAAAATCTTGCATCAAAACAATAGCTCTTATCAATACAACAAAAATAATCTCAGCCTAAGGCAATCAAGCGTTAATAAACTGTTCGGATATATTACCTAGGTGGAAATGGTCCGACA